TTCGATCGAAAAAAAATGGTGGGTCTCGAATTGTTTGAAATTTGAGGCACGTATCTCCTACAACCCTGACAATCGTTCCTTTTTTTAGTCGATTTTTCGTGTTGCACGCGTCATCATCATGACGAGGATGCTTTCAATGTATGTCCATATTGACGTAATAAATTAATAGATCCCGGTAGGAGGTACGATCCACTACGCTAGTATATTAATAATGCGTTCAGGTGCTTGATACGATTAAAAATGGGCGTGTACAACCTCTCTCCTGTCGAATAAATAATTTCTTCTATTTAAAAATAAGTATTTCATAAACTTGAAGTTGGAGCTGCAATATGTAAGAAAATATAAATCATTGTTATCGAGTGTTTATTAGCGTCACGGTTATGGCGCCTGTTTTCCACCCAGACAGCCTAGGGTGTTCGAATTCTCGAAAGGGGTATTAAAATAATTTTTCATCAATTTTCAGTAATGAAAAATTCATCTTTTAATTAATTAAAATCGAGTTAAGAGTTAAAAAGATTCTTTTAATGAATAAAATGAAAGATGGGTGGGTTGTGCACTTCCAGTTGAGAAAATAAAATTGGAAACTTTTTAGAGAATCAATCGTCGAAGCTCTTAGGAATTTAATATTGCGAATGCGCGCCGGTATTTGAGCCGTTCATAAGAAGAAAAATTTTAATTATCTTGTTATAAAATTCCTCTATCGTTGCGAAGTTCCATTCAAGAATAGAAATAAAATATCTAGAGGATAGAATCGCTGCGGTAGGAAAGAGGGAATGATGAAAAAACAAAGGCTGGATATAATTAACACCGAGAACACATAATTAGTACTTAAGTTAGTTAATGAGTAAGATTATTCAAGTATCCCTTCAGAAATATATTCGTGCTACGAAGTGAACTCACGCTGTTCTTTCCATTAAATAAATACATCTAAAATAAAGACTTTATTTGACATAAATTAATATATACTACAATCTTCCTTAAAATTAATAATACGATTTAAAAAAAAAAATCTTCCAATTTCTTGTGTTAATGTCTATCTAAAGCTATAAAAAAAAGGTTAAGTTTTTCGGGAAAGAACGACGCGAGTCGTTTCAGTGTAAATAAGCCGGCGAAAATTCTAATTTTTAACGTCGTTTTAAGTAGTAAATTGTAAGGTTATAAAAAAAAAAAGGATCGAAGATTGTGCGAAATGGTTATAATCCCGAAGTCCAGTAGTGCTAACGATGGCTGTGATATGGAATAAGGAAAAAAAACTAAACGAGAGAACGAATGAGAAAAAAAACAAAACGGTGCTTCTCTCTTCCTCGCTCTCTTCGTATTCTTCTCTAATGAAAAAAAAATTCATCCTCCAATACTGATATTAAAAAGTTTTTAAAAAAAGCAACTATTATCAAATTAAAATGGGGAAAATGTCGAGAACATTTTTTTTCTCATTTATAAATACTTTTATAATTGACACGAGAGCGATGAAATTGGAGACGGAGAGGGTCACTAGGTCTCGGTTAAAAATGCCTGCGACATTCCCAATAATACATTCATCGTATTTTTCTCTTCTTCTTAAAAAACGAGTAAAAAGTAAAAAAAAAAAAAAAAGACAGATAACAGTTTTACGATCAACGTTTTACTGTAAATCGATCTCAATTTAGCGAGAATTAGCGTTTGAAACAATCGACATTCGCGTGCGCAGAGTGAACCGGAAATTGTTCCACTAGTAACCCGGAAGAGGATGATTCCACTCGTTAACACTAGAACTACCAAAGCAGTCAAAATGGCTGGTCGGTATTTCCTGTAAAAATTGCTCGAGAATATTTATCAGTACAGCTTTTAAAATTTTCTTTATATTACGCATATTGTTAAAAATTTGTCAGTAACCATATTAAAGTTTCCATAAAATAATTATATGTTAATTATTAATAGATCTAGTGTTGAAACAATTTGTTCAACATTATATTTAATGCAAGAAAAGAATTAATCTGCAACTTAACCTAATTATCGTCCCATACTATTTTCTGTCCACTCTGCGTGCCCATGAAGAGATACACGTACATGAACACACACAGGACACGTTACATCGATATATTAGAGAGTTACGACTATGTACACAGTATATAGGTAGACTAAAGACAAAACGTAACACTTGTTGTACGAACATTTCCATTTAAACGCGTCGAAGACATACGAAGTGCGTGGCATGTTGTATCGAGAAACCGGCCTAACCGCGATACGACTGTAACGTTTGTGCTGATGATCCCCCTTCCAGTGTGGTTCCACTCGTTAAGAATCTCTGAAGAAAAACGATCGTTTTAAAAAAGATTAATGGGGGAACCACCGTGTCGTCGTCAGGACAAAACACGCCCCCCAACCCCCCACCTATAAGTATCTCGTACTTTTCTTATCCTTGTTACTACACGGGTCCGCGGTGATTCTGTAGTCGCTCGTTAAATTTGATTAAAACGATTAGAAATGAACAATCAGCATCTGTCTGCACTTTATTCTTCTCCACCGTCACACCTCTGCACAGGGTGTGAAAAAATGTAACGGACAAAATATGTAAAAGAAGAAAAAAGGAAATTTTTAAATCCGTCTCCGTTACTTTTTTACGCCCTGTACGTTTTCACATCCTTCTTAAACCACTTTCCATAACCTTGAAATACTTCGAAATTGTGGTAAAAACAATCTTCACCGATTTATACCGACGGTTTTAGGTGCTGGAGGTGGCCTGAGCAGTGGTGGAAGGGGCAGGGGAATCGGTGGCCCGCCAAGCATGGGCATGGGAATTAGTGGTGGCGGCCCTGGCATGATCGGCAGGGCAGGCGGATTTGGGCCCCGCGGAGGGCCCCATGGCGGTTTCCTTGGCGGAAGTGGCGGTCCTGGTGCAATGAGGATGGAGAAAATTCACCCACATCGCTTCAACCCCATCGGTATGGGCGGTGGATATGTCCAGTCGCATTTCTGGTGACCTAACCTCGTCGACGACCCGGACAGCAAGGCAACACCGGCTACGTACCTTTCTTCGTTCGACCGTGATCGCTCGTAACTGTGTCGAGTGAACTGGTTTTTCTCGAGCGATAGGTGAAGTCACGCTGGAGACACTGTGGAGACAGAATCATTGGGAGAAGAGGCTGTGTACAGACACACACAGGGTAGAAGAAACTGGCAGCCAGACGTCGCTGTTTTTCTCGTCTCACGCGTAGTGTATTTACGAGAGACGTTTGAGGACTAGACTGATCTACGAATGTGTAAACTATAACGCGACCGACATTGCATAGTATGTAATGATGTTTCTACGTGCCTGTACCAAAGCTTGGAACACCTAGTATTGTACGTCCAGTGATGGACATATGGGAAATCGGATACTGGACTGTTTCGAGGTCTCGAAGGTGTTGTTGGAAATCTTGAAATATATTTGGGTCCACACGAAGCCCTCCATGAGCGATATGCGGAGTAATTTTTTTAACACGACTACTTTGAATTATCGCTAAATTATTTTGACATCGTATGTGCTTTATGTGTGAAAATTGGAAGAGCATTATGCTCAGTAATGAAAAAAAGCTTACGGCATTTTAGGTCTAAAGTGAATATTTATTGTAAGTTAAAGTTGTTAGGTTAGCTAAATTACCCTGCATAAATAACATAATCTTTTTAAATGAATTTCCATTACATAACATTCATCACGTTACATCTGCTTCTGTTTGTTTCGAGGTTATCGAGACACATCGTAGAGAATGACTTCGAGATCTCGAAATGTAGGTTGTTGAGGTTAATCGCTGACGCTATTAGACCCATCGCTATTTCTACGTCGCTTTTAATCGTTAAAAAAAAAAAGTACAATAAAGCTTCTCACATTGTCCTTCACCTCGAAACCGATTTGGGACAGTTTCGGTAGAGGGTATCGTAAGACTACTCTTTCAAGTTTCCTTTTTTTTTTTTTTTTTTTTTTTTTTTTTTTTTTTTTTTACAATTATTCTGGATACAATATGAACAGAGGTTCGTTCCGCGCTTGTTTACAAGAATTTACTAACTAAGTTTGCTCCTTCCAGAGGTCCGTATATAAGGGTGTTCTCCCTTAAAGTAGATTAGACAGAGAATGGGTGGGGATAGGCGTTTTCGGAGGCGAATCTCTGGGTAGAGGACATCTTATCTAGGATGTCCATCTTTTTCGAGAAACGCGTGGAAAAAGGTTTTCTTAATATGCGGTATTATTCTTCAGATGGGATGCAAAGGGAAAAGAGTCTTGGCTTAAAGTCGGTCGGAGGAATACGAGGGAAAAGGGAAAAAAGGGGTCTTATCCGTGATGGTTGGTTTCCCGTTGGAGCTCGAGGGTAGTACCTCATGTTAAGGCGAAGATCTTAGTTTATAATTGTTCGAAGGAATATGAGAATAAAGAGAAAGAAAAAAAGATCCTATCCATAACGGAGCGCGTTTCCTGGAGGAGCGAGGGGGTACTATCTTATCTCTTAAGGTGAAGATCCTAGCGGGACGGAATCAAGGGGTTGCATACGACAAGAGACATTGTTTTGTCCCTTCAGAGACAAGGACAAGGAGTAAAAGAGAAGGATGAAATGAGAATCGAGACAACAGAGAGATTTAAACACCAGCGTTTTTATTTTTAACTTTTTCTGTATGAAAAGGTTGATAACATATTGATGAGATTGTTGTGATCAAAAGGAGACCAAACATGATATAATTTGAACATTTACTTATTAATACTTATTGAGTAACTGATTTCATTTCATTATCGCTTTGAATCAATTACAGAAACGAATTGTTAGAAAAATACATGAAATATCTGTACATATTGTACGTTGAATACATAAGCTGTGCCCCTGGACAATGTGGAGGCACAGCCTACATTTGACGAATAATGTGGGAGAAGAGTTACATTCGAGGGATGATGTACATATTTTTCCGGCATCACGTTATTGTAATTTATCAGAAACTTGTAGTGTAGATATAAGACTACACACACACATGTGTGTGTGTGTGTGTGATATTGAACATTTTCTCGTTTATTTGATGCCGGAAAAATACATAAAACATCCCTTTATGTACATTGTCCGTCAAATGTAGTCCGTGCCTCCACATTGTCCCTAAAACTTAGGCAGTGCCTCCACATTACCCCTCAAATGTAGGCTGTAAATGTGGTCCAAATTATATAATGTTTGATTTCGTTTTTTATTCGGAAATATCTCACCAATGTGGTAAATTTTCAGATAAGAAAAATTATATTATTGCATTATGAATTATCGAGTTGTGAACTTTCGTCAAATCGTCAAAAGAACCGCGTCGCGTATCGGATTACATACATCGCAGGCTTGACTAACTCCGAGAAAGATAAGAGTGGTGGACGGAAGAAGCACCAGTAGGGACAGTGTGAAAAGATTTACTGTACTCCGTTTTATAGCTTTAATACCTTCGTTTTATTACGCGTTTAAATTAGTGGCGTTCACTCCCGCCGATTTAAATAATGCTCGTCGAATATTGTAATACGTTGTAAGGTATAAAAGAAAAAAGAAAAGAAGAACGAAAGGACGCTTGGTCGTCGAGTCGTCCAATTTTAGATCGAACGCGTAGTCAGACTCGATGGCGAAGTAAACGTTGTGCTAAATTTTAGGCAAGTTGTCGTGAAATTCTATTTTTCTGGCGATCGACACGCGAATCGAACATCTCCTTTAGTCCAAGGTAACGTTTAAGAAGGTCGTTCGGGGACACCCTGTAGGCCAAAAACTCCAGATTCTATTATCTATCGATTTTATACAATATTCACAATTTTAGGCAGTGAATCAAATTGATTGTTAAAAAATTGAAACTGTTCGAAGTTATCAATTGTAACATGTTTTCATTCGAAACATGCAGAGAACCTGATTAATAATCCTTTAAGTTTAGCTGCATTCTCGAATGGATATAATCAGTATCCAAAAACTTCCAACAGTTTCCTTAGATCAGAATTTGTCATCTGAATTGTTTGAATAAATTATTGCCGTCGTATACCACGATTAAATTAACGAACAGAGACAATTGAGTACCTGTCGCTGATTATGTTGCTACATCCAAACCAAGTACCTGCTGTTCAAGTAAATCTCTGCCTGTTAATGGGTCATATACGTTTTTCAGCAGTAAAAAGTGGTTAATGTTTGTAAGTGATCGAAGGACAAATTATTAGGTTGAGATTGGTTTAATTCTTTTTGTATTATAAAAGTACACGATTATAGAGTAGAAAACAGGAATGAAAAATTGAAAATTATTAGAGATACGACGTCTGCACGCAATGGCGTAAAACAGTTTTTCGGTGGGCATGATTTTTAGCCTGTTACTAATGATCACAAACGAAAATTTTCGCTTTTTAACACTTTTTGGAATCTTAGTTATCGGCCCCACCACAATGAGGTTTTTTTAAAGAAAAAAAATTGTGACAATGGTAACAATTTGAAAAAAAAAAAAATTGATTTGATTTTCATTTAACCCTTTCACCGCGACGAATTTTAATACGTGAGCCGATAACAAATCTTATTTAGAATATGTGTGTAATAGATGAAGTTAATCGGACGAGGCAGTTATCTTGCCCACCGTGTTGAAAAAATGCTGTTTCAAGAAGAACGCGTTGAAAGTTTTGTAATGATGCTTCTGGAGCGGCACGGACCATTTCGTTCGAACGACTGTAACTTCAACAATAATTCCAGTTTCGAGTTCGCTTTGGGCTTAAAATATTTTTATGATATGTATCTTTTTAAGATATGTAAAAAATCAACTTTTTGAAATTGAGAAACGTATGAATATATATGACTATTTAACGAGTCAGAAAAGCAATCTCGCGCTTTTGGCCAGCAAACGGTGTCTCATATTGTAGTTCATTTCTTATAGAGACACTCGATATAATACTAGTGAAATGATTTTCTTAGCTTTGATCAACTTCACGATCGCTCGAGCGCTGCGAATGTCAGCCAGTGATGATTGGTTAGACAGATGAGTAGGTTATGAGAGCCTCGTTTTCCTCGATAGTTGAGCGTTTTATTACCTGCGAAAAAGGGATTGGGGGGGGGGGCACGTTGAGGGCAGAAGCTAAGAGTTCTACGTGTTGTTGTACATTTCCTTTTTAATGGTTCTAACTCTTGAAACTTTATCGAACGTTTAACGTTAAGAAAGAGTTTTTTATCGGAGTCAGCGTACAAGGAGACTGCGTTTCTCATGTGATACTCCGAATGATGTTGGACACCGATGGTCACGATCTAGATCGTTATTAAAGCTTTTTTCTTTTATTTAATTCCTCTCCTGAGTTTCTTTTTCTTGAACGATTAAAATATTGCCAAAATGAAAAAAAAAAAGAAATAATGAAGATTGTTACTTTTGTACGCTATTCGTGTACTTAAAGAAGAAAAAAGAAATTCGAGACGCCATCGTTGTCCATGAGACCGCGAATTGTACATAAGTTGTAATGAAAGCACGCCATTTATCGCGGCACGTCGTAGACAAAAATGAGACTGACTTTTTATAGGGGACAAATTTTACGTGAACAATTTTAAAATCGATGAAATTGCCTCTCGTTGTTATCGCTTGTCTAACTTTATTTTTTTCTTTTTTTTTTTTTTCACTTTTTTCCCTTCTCCCACAGTTCTCTGTTTATTGCCTTATTTTTTTTTTTTCCCTTCCTTCCTCTATTAAATTGAAACTATCGCGACGGAAATCCGCTTTTCTGCGTTCGCTTGCGGGCGTAAACAGGAAAAGAAGCATTGCAGTTTAACATTATTATTCAACGACGACGAACGTGCGAGATTTTTACCGTAACGGAGAAAACCGCGCGAACCATGTTTCATAAAAAGCTAACCTTTGTATCGCGTTCAAATTTTCGATGATCATTTTGTTAACAGCATTCATACGATCTACACACTTTATCCTCTTCTCTCTATTTCTCTATCTCGATAATTCGTAGTTATATAAGAATCTACTTATTTAAGACGAAATAAAAATATCTGCAAAAGAATATATAATGGAGAGCTCCGTTATGTGGTTGTGTGCGTGTCTATT